AGAATAATGGCTCGGACATTTTTCATCGATATATTTATTTACTTTTAGAATTAAAAGACTAAATTTTACCTACCATGTCAATGCCTTGTTAAATATGGAAAATTAAAAGAATAAGACGACGAATTCCTGCAGGACGATAAACACATGCAAACAATTTCGTTACAGGCTTGGCTTATCGCCAAAATGAACGTTTAATAATATGTTATCTTATTATTATGAAAATCGCTAAAAGCCTACATGTTTGCTGGTTGAATAACTACAACACTGGAATTGTTCTGCGTTTTATTTTCGTTTTTTTTTCAATGTTTGAATAAACGCCTGGTTTCACAAGAGTTCACTTAATTTCGAATAAAGATAAGGTTTTGTAATTTGTAATATAACAAATGTGTCGAGACATAACACAAACTTGAGCACAAAAAGTATGAGCTGGTGGGGTGCGTCTGTAAAAGTTAAATATTAAGACTTATTGATAAGTCTTTATTGTAAATTGAATCTGTTTTTTTTCTTTTTCTTTCCTAAGAACTCCATATCACCGTGCATATTCAATAACACAGGAATGTGCAATAATCGTAAAAGTAACGCCGAATCTGTGCAACGCTATTGACAAAACGAATAACAGAGTAAGTAAACGAACCAATATATTTTATTCTTAATCAAATTTAAAGAAATGAATTAGCGCATACGGCTGCTACTACATTATACTTTAAGCAGCATTTCAATTGTTTTCAGGGCTTTGTTTACTTTCTTCGATCATTCGTGAGGAATACAACCTGATAACCGTTTTTCAGGTGTATTTCGTGTTTCATCAAATAAATATGTACATTTAACACATTTAAAACTTTAGTTTTTCATATTCTATATACCTTAGACATTTGTCAAACTACAACTGTCGAATAACAATAGAAGGAAGCTGCTCAAATAAGATTTGGCTACCTTTAATGAGATGACCGCCGTTGCTGCAGTGCTTCATTAACGAATTCGGTGTAACCTGGTAAAAATGGTCTCATTCAATGTTTATCTGCTAAATTAAATGTAATATGACGCGAGTAGAATGGAAAATATCTCAGGTACACAGAATATAAAAAATATAATTAAATAAGTACATTATTGAATTAAAAGATATCAACGAAATTTAAAACCGCCATTAATGCGCTAGTCAGGTCGTCATTTTCACAAATGATCTTGAAAATTAAACTTTATCCTGGAAGTTTGATGAGGTTTAAAGTATATTGTCTCAGCAACCGTATGCGCTAACTCATTTCTTCCAATTTGGTGTACAATAAAAAATATTGGTCAATTTACTTATCGCGGTGCTTGCTTTAGCCACTAAATTGCTCAATTCTGCGTTATTTTTGCACAATTCCTGCGTTATTTGCTCATTCCTGCGTTACTGGATACACACGGTAAATATGTTGAACGCAAATGCATGAAATAAGCAACTTGTGTGTTCATATGATAACTGTTTCATTATATCGATAATTATCAGATGGTTGGAATGTTTTTATCTTTTTTTTATCAAATATATCTTTTTTTGTAAAGAATAATTACGAAATCAAAATAAACGCACACTGCAATTGCAATTAATATATAAAAGGTGTAAGTTATTTTCGAGTATAATTGCCGTATATTTGTGTTGAGTTGATGACTTCTGTTGAAATTGTTCCAATCATATTTTGTATCATTACATGCTTAAAATTTTTCATTGAAAGCATTATTAAAATTACTTAACAACGAAAAACGACTTAAACCTGTCGTTACTGTCATCACGGATTGGTAATATAAATCCGTGCTGTCATACACAAACAAACTGCATGATGTCCATTTTCCTTCCGCTAAAAATCGGCTGTCTTTTATTTTCTGTATATATCAAGATTTGATGCAATCAAAACTATTTTCTGAAAATTAACTTCTATGTTATTTTTATGTTGAGAAGCAAAGAAGGTGAAGTAGACAAATTTAATGGAGTAACTTATACGAGGGGTATATAATTTAATTAGTGACAACAACTCAATTTACCATGATTTGCACGTGAAAGTACATGTATAATATACCGTTGGAAAGACTATTGGTTTTTCTAACTAACAGTCTATTTTCGCACAATTTGCACGTGAAATAGAATTTAAGCAGGTCATTTAGTCGTAATAACATGTGGTTTGGTATATTGTTTGATCTGAGTTGCATTGTGATTTGAGAGTGTAGTAAAGAGCTTATTGTAAAATTCGTTTGATATTTGGCAAAAAAGGATCACTATTTAGTTTATGGAGAAAATGCCGTTCATTATCGTACAATTGCCAGACTGGTGTCAATGTTTAAGAAAGGTAGAACTATGTTAAGGATGATCCCCGCCCTGGACGACCAATTTCCGCTACCTTTGAAAAAGACATCAGCATTGTCAAAGCCATAGTTGAATACGACGCAAGACATACCGTTGTGGAGATAAATTATATCGGGCCTTAGTTCGTGATTTGTGTTTTTCACCTTTAAAGAAAGTTAGAGGTAAGAAAAGTGTGCGCCCGTTGGATCCAACATTTGTTAACGTCTGACCTTAAAAGAAAGCGGATTGAAAAAGTTTGGCCTTGTTGACTAGGTTCAAAGATCAAGACCCTAAACTCCTATGAGAAATTGCCACATTGGACGAAACGCGGCTTTATTTTTTGAGCCCGTCAATTAACTCAGTTACAAAATGTAGATAGGTGAAAACAACCATCGCCCAGTTGTTGTTCCAAGTAGCACGAGCTTTAAAAGAGAAAGAGTATTGTAAGCTCTTTTGACAGTGATTTAATAGTCCAGGATCAAATATTCCAATGATAAAGAATCTGCGTACCGGTCAGCCTTGGTTCAAGCTTATTTTGAGGAGCAGAGAATTGAGGTTTTTTTGCTATATACCGCTTATAGTCCTGATCATTCTCCTTTACGGCCGAAGCCCGTAGTGTCGTCGGAAAGGTTCCAGTGTATAAACAGTATACCTTAAGAACAGTTTAAAATGGATTCTGAGGCTGGAAAAGTGTGTAAAAGTCCACGGTAAATATTTTAAAGGATTTTTCACAGGTATGACTTATTTATAAAAACGTGCTGCCGTTCCCACTAATTAAAATATGCCCCTCGTAAATCGTGGTTTAATCAATACTAACAGTGTACTGTAATCAAGTAAACACTTCTATTATTTGATCAAATAATAATGATTATTTGATCAAATAATAAGGTGAGGATACATTGGCCTGCTAAATAGAACTCCTTTCAATAGTTCATATACCACATAGAAATAGATAAGCTAATAGCATAAATATATCTTGAAAGATCCTGTCTCTTAGTTTAAGTTGTATCATAGTTTGGGGACCTTTCTGTTAAAAACGTGTCAGACTTAAATCGTATACATATATATGCACAGTGCAGTAACTGGAGTGCAGGTATCAGTTACCCGCACTCCAGATCATGCCCGTTGATTGGCTCATTTTTGCTGGGGTTTACATATTGTGACGGCAGAGAAAGGGAAAGCGGCATTGTGTACACCGGTCTTACTGACCTGTATGAAACCACTCTAAGCATGATGGGAACGCACTACTTTTTACATGGCGGCTTGAACACGTAAGTGATAGAACACAACGCAAATGGGGCCAATTGAAAAATTAAACTGTTTCCATACCCTGTTGGCAAAATAGCCATTACATCACTTTTACTCAAAACATGCATCAAACACCCCTACTGACATTCCTTTTGTGGTTTTACTAACCTAGTTTCGTTCAACACGCGTGATAGTATTCCGTCGATTGTTAATTTAAAACCGAAAGTGAAAGGAGTTTTGAATATTTGAATAAATAGTAACGCAGTCGAACTATCAATTGCACTTGCAATATTAAACACTGGAAAACAGTGATCCCTTGGAAGCAATAAACGATTTTAATCACTTGAAAAGATATATTATGTTTTATAAAATAAAATTGTCATCCCTACGCGGACTTCTTTATGTCGGAGTCATTTTTACCCTCATTTGGGGTGAGATATGCGTCGTAAGACACAGGTCGATATTTGAGAGACCGGTGTGTATACAATGGGGAAAGCGGCAGAAATATCATAATTATTCAGATGCTCGTTCATTGGTTACCCTTTTCTGGTGTTTCATATTGTGACAACAGGGAACGTGTTTTTATGTGTGACTATGATACAAAAGAGAAAGAACACCAAAAAACTCAGCAATCTGATTTATACTCGGGGGCTACGCCCCGTCGTACAAATCAGATAGCCTCGTGTTTCGGTGCTCTTTCTATTACTTAATATGTGCAAGATATTATATCGAAGTTATTAAGCTGATTTTTCTTGAAGATCATTGTTGTTTCCCCTTTATCAAATGAAGTGGAGCATTTTGTTGATTATTTTTCGAAATATATTTAATATAAGAGCTTTCAGGCTAACACGAAACTCTAGAAGTTATATCATTCGTAAGTGGTTATCTATGAACGGATGTATTTCTTTTATTCAGGTTCTAAAGGATTTCCAACTAGCTATTATTTCTTTTTTAATTTGGCTGACATGCACGTTTACAACATGTCTGATTTAAAGTTTGCACAATCTTACACAATTATACAATAATAATATAAGGGTAACAGCGGTTGAAGATATACTTTTTAAAAATAAATTTTTACTTTAAAAATATCATTTTCGTACACCACGGATTTTTAAGGTCGTGTCTAAAAACATGCACGAAGTGGCATCTGTTGTTTCCATTTTCCAGTGAAATAGAAAGCTGCCATATTACATTTACAATCGGAATAAAGCAAATTAAACTGTTCAGTTATAAAAAATTCTAAAAATTCAAAACAAAAGCATTTAAAATATTTTTTATTAAATGATTTCGTGCAAATGAATACCGTTGAAGCAGAACTTGTAAATAAATATGTGAAAAATGTAGAAAAAATTGTAAAAAGGAATAGCTTAAGATTGTAAATTTTACTTCTAAATATTATAATAATTATTTAACATGTAATGTGAAAATATCCAATTATAATATTAATCTTTTGAAGTTGATTAACAAATTAATATCTCAATGTTTACAAAAAAGATATTTAATTTTAAAGATTAACGAAAAATATAGCAAACATGTACAATATACTACGGTATTAAGTATCTGTTTTCGCTTATCACACCAGCATACTTTTTGATTGATGTCAATATTTCGTTTTACTCACTTTTAAACTAAATGTAAACAGATCCATCCGAAATAGTACAGTAAATATTTTGTGTGGAAAAATAACAAACTGAACCGATGAATTAAACGTTCTGGTACACTTGATAATTAATTTACTTATCAAGCAGTCTTATCACTCATTTTCGCGTTACTTTCATTTTTGACCCAGTCATTTAACAGCGTCATACAATTGTTTTTCGTAATGCGTGACGTAGCCATCTCCTTAAAAAGATAAAAATATACGAATTTAAATTACAAGTGAATAAAAATTAGTGACTACTGTCGCCACACAGTAGAAGTATGTATTTCTTCATCAAAATAAAAATTTATTAGTGTAAGTTTTAACAGGCATAACATTTCGTTGACTTGTTCCTTCTTTACTCGACTGATAATTCGAACTTTTAAGTAAATTTCAAAATTGCGTATGATTCATCAAAATAGTGCATATCATTTTAAGGCACTGCATACTAATGTATACATTTTTGTCAATGAAACAGAGGCATAACCAATTATAGGTACATGTACAGTTAAAATATTATTTTATCATTAAGTTTCTTAACAATACTGGATCAGAATGTAATTTAGTCTTGTTTTAAAAATACAATAAATTAATTTTATAAAAATAAATAATACAACTACAAAAGTCCATATCTGATGAAAAAATAATATTACCATCCACGTCGAATAATTCTCTGACTAATTCGTCAAGCATACCATCTCGGCGTCTACATAATTCAATCACAAAACTTGCCGTAAATGATACTGAATTGAAAAATGAAAAGCAATTAATTTAATTGTATTATTAAACAGAACGTGTTACATTTTTATGTCTGATTATAATATAATGGGAACCTGGTAGAACTAAAAATAGCTTTATTATCAATATTATTGCAAGACTATCGATTACCTGTGAAACAGTTCAACCTGATTATGTCATGAAAATACAAGGTTTGTTAATTATAGTTACTTTTGTATATCTTGTTCAAAAAACATTCTCAACATATCATATTTCAACGTTAATTTACGTTCCAGACCTGGGTAACTGTTTTTTTATTGAATAGTTGTAGTTTGGCAATGGTACAGTTATGTTAGTTGCCCCGGGAAGGTAAGCACCTTTATTATGTATTGTTGAAAAAAAAATCTGCAATCATGTATACGTACTTTTTGTGCGACAAAATTTAGACTTTAAAGCTTTGTATAGTTTTTTCTTCCCATTGAAAGTACGACACAGTCCATGTCTTGCATAGTGATGAATGGGTCTGAAAAGATAGCAATCACTTGTTTAGTACATAGTTACATCAGCTGATGATGTATTGTGAAACATTTCAAGTAGTTGATTTAAACATATTTTTATTCAAGTAATATATACATGTTAATGATTTACAATTTAAGCACAAAAGTAATTAGACCGAGAGCTACAATAGCTCATGGTAGTCCTCTCCTGTAACAAAAGCAATATGTTCATATAATAGTGGCTTATTATAATTTTAATTTAATCCTATGAAGTAGTTATCATTTTATAAGTCATTAATAATGACAAAAATCCGTCTTTTTACATACACGTATTGTTCCTCTGTTTGTTTTTTGTTCTCAAAAGGTTTGCGAAATTAAAACTGTATCATTCTAAATTGTTCAGTCTTTGCAGATATAGAATAATGCAGTACATATGATATCTTTATACAACTACAAAGCATGTAAAAAGGCTTGTTTCATTACATACAAAAACATTTAATTTTGTTTAAAACAGTTTTTAGAAAATGAAATAATTTTGACATCATGTAAAATTCAATACTTACGCTCGGTGCATCCCGCCGCTTGTATTCTTTTTGTCTGTCCCATTTTTGTCATTTACAGGGGTTGTATTTATCACAGTTTTATCCAATAATAAAGCATATTGTTGAGTCACCTGAAACATTGTTTCTATTGTTGCCACAGTTTCTAACAGGCATATCGCCATCGACACCATTTTGTGTATTTTTTAATATATTGTTTTTCTCTCCAATTATGTATCAAATAGTATATTTGTCCTTGAAATACTTTCCCAAACGATAGTATCTAATAATTATAAAACATTTCTGATAAAGTTAGAAATTGACTTGAAGACATATAATATCTCGACCGTTAATCAAACTTATTGCATATCTGCTGCTGCAAGTTTCACATATAAAGCCGTGTTGAATGTATTTTCAAGGTCAAATATGCGTGATGTATATATCGCGCCAAAATATGATTAGTTTTCAGGTTCACAACACTCAAGAAGGAACCAGTTTCTTAGGAATAAACATTTACTCTCTATGAATTATCCCAACAATACATACACTGGAATAACATTGATTTCCTTTACACTTCCACTTCCAAAATTTAAATTGTCGCCTGCAATATTATTAAAGCATGCACTACCGATGTTTGAAATTGAGATATTCAAAGTTTTATAAATCCTCTTTCACCCCCGAATGCTTCAGTTTATAGAATACTAATCTAAACGTTTATATAGTTTCCCCCTGTGGCTCACGCTGTTTTTTCTCGGACCAGATGAATAGATTACCTTTGATACATAACATTCAACAAGGTAATTATCTCTTTTTAACCGTTTACCCGAAAAACATCCTAATAATGTCCACCATCTTTTCTATTCAGAGTCGTTATGACCTTAA